TACCCTACATTCTCTCACATCAAAGAAACACCTGATCTTGGAATCCAAGAAGATCTCACTTTATTTCTACACTTTCTCCTGCTCACATTCAAGTACTAACTTGACCGTTGGAGGCGGAGCTCCAAACCCCCGGAATCTCCGTTGTTTTTCAGGTACATGCACATTCGGATCAGTCCTCGAGCTGTAACTCTCCCAAGGGACAAAAACACCCAAAACAAGTATCATATTCGGATGTTATATTGCTTCCTACTATCATGTTTAGGGTAATAACTAAAATTTCTAATATCATGTATATTATTATGATGCTTACTATTTCTTTCCTAATAACGTGTTAGTGACATGTTAGGGATAATTGATCTTTAATGTTTAGTGACATGCTAGGGTTTATTATTAATTTTGTTAGTATCATGCCTAGGATCTTGCTAATATTATTATGCTTTGAGATTGAGAATATTATTATTATAATGATGATTGTTATTATGTTGCTTGATATTATATTATTATTATTATTATTATTATTATTATTATTGTTATTGCTTGATCACGCCTTTTATGCATATTTAAAGGGAATTTGTACTTGTAATCACGTTTAATAAGATAATTAATAATCTTGTTTAGGCTAATATGATTATAATTCAAGTGATCGCCAATAATAGTTTTGTTTGTGCATTAATATTCAATCAACATAGATTAAACAGGTTTAGGGTAAACCTATTGAATGTATGTTAGTTAGAAAGCGCACATGAATACGATAAGAATAAAGTAGAGGCCTATTTTTAGGTCAAGTTCAATATCTTTTAGGTTGTATTTGTAAATTCATCCCCGAACTTCCAGTCATGGTTCCTGACCTATTGGAGTTAACGATCTCCTAGATCGTTGAGGGGTGTAACCTTCACCCTGTGAACGGTTTACAAGTTCCTAAAACTTGTTGGCGACTCTTTTACTCTAGCTTCCTTTCCTTTGGATGCCACCATGCTTAAGTGTATGATCATAGTGGGGCTTAAGTGTGGGATGGCTTGAAATATTCCCTACAATTTTTGACAAAGTGCAGATTCTGATCGATACAAGAAAAATAAGGGAAGTGCAATATCCAAATTGGCTCGCAAATGTTGTCGTCGTTAGTAAAAAGAACGGCAAGTGGAGAGTATGCATCGACTTCACTAATCTTAATAAAGCATGCCTTAAAGATCCATTCCCATTGCCGCATATCAACTCCATGGTAGACGCGACCGCAGTTCATGAGCTCCTAACATTCATGGATGCCTACTCCGGATACAATCAAATCCTTTTGCATCCCGACAATCAGGAGAAAACAACCTTCATGACCGATAAAGGTATATATTGTTGTAAAGTTATACCTTTTGGACTAAAAATTGCAGGTTCGATATATCATAGGCTTGTCAACAAGATGTTCAAAGACCAGTTAGATGATACGATGGAGGTGTATATCAACGATATGCTGGTGAAATCCAAAAGGTCAACGGATCATGTTGATCACCACCAACAAACATTTGAGGTTTTGCGGAAGTATTGTATGAAACTCAACCCTACGAAATGTTCTTTTGGAGTACTTACTGGTAAATTTCTTGGCTATGTAGTAACGTAAAGGGGAACTAAAGCCAATCCTGACCATGTCAGGGCCTTAATAAACATTCAATCCCCCTAAAACGTTAAAGAAACCCAGTAATTGTCAGGACGAATGGCAGTGTTAAATTGCTTTACTTCTCGATCGTCGGACAAATGCCACCTTTCTATAATGTTTTAAGAAAAAATAAAGGCTTTGAATGAACGATGATCATGAGAAAGCGTTGCAGGAATTAAAGAAATACTTAATGATGACACCCCTCCTATCGAAACCCAAAGCTAACGAACCTTTGCATCTTTATATTGTCGTTAGTGTCATCGTTGTCAGCGCAGTACTAACCAGAGAAGAAGAAGACGCTAGGCAGTTACCGATTTATTACGTAAGTAAAACCTTGCTCCCAACCGGGGTAAGATATTCGTCTCTTGAGAAGTTAGTCCTTGCTTTAATCACTACTGTTAAAAAATTAAGACATTATTTTGAGACCCACCACATAGTGGTGATGACTAATTAAACTCCTCAAGTCTGTTTTGAGAAAGCTAGAGTTAACATGATGATTAGGCAAATGGAGCATGGACATCGAATACCAGCCTCAGAAAGCAATCAAGTCACAATCTCTAGCCGACTTTGTGGCTAACTTCAGCCCCGACCTACAAGTTGTAGCTGACAAAGAAGTAGAAGAAATAAACAACGTCGACAAAGAAAGAAAATGGATCATGTTCGTCGATGGTTTTTCCAATCAACGACCTAGGAGTGGTGATAAAGTCTCCACAAGGGAACATGATAATAAGACCCATATCTTATGATTTCAAAGAAACAGATAACAAAGTGGAATATGAAGCTTTGATTAAAGGAATGATCATTGCCAAAGACTTAGGAGCAACAGCTCTGGATTTATATAGTGATTCCCTTCTCATCATCAGCTAAATGAAAAGAAATTTTGCAGTAAAAGACTCCAAAATGACAACCTACCTTGACATAGCCAAAGAATTAAAAAGCCAAACACTTTGACCCATTCATAATCTAATAAATTCCACAAGACCATTATTCTCAAGCCGACGCACTTGCAAACCTAGCCTCTGCCCTCAAAAAGACAACCTTTAAAAATATTCCCTTCGTCCATTTACAAAAACTGTCAGTATCAACAAAAGCAATCCTTCCCGTCAACGACATTAACGATGATGACGATTGTACCAAACCCATCATAGATTACCTCACCAACGATACCCTTTCCAGTGACAAAGCAGAATATCAGAAGCTGAGATACAAAGCCTTTAGATACCGTATCTTTAACGAAGTCTTGTTCCACAAAACATCGTCAGGTCTATCATAAAGATGCATCCAAAGCAATGAACATCAGTCCATCCTTATCCATCTGCACAACGACATATGCAGCAGTCATGTCGGAGGTAGAAGATTAGTCAAATTCTTAAAAAGACAAGGATATTTCTGGCCAATGCTTCATGAAGACACCATGCAGTACGTCGCCAAATGTGATAGCTTTCAGTGGTTTGCCAACACCGTTCATAAGCCTTTGGAATCTCTACACCAAACCTTGTCTCTATGGCCTTTCATGAGATGGGGAATGGATATCATCGAAAAGTTAGCTGCAGCTCCTAGACAAAGAGTCTACATGCTAGCGTTGACCGATTACTTTTCCAAATGGATCAAGGCAGTGACCTTGAAATAGGTGAAAGATAAAGAAGTGATTACATTCTTATGGACTAACATTATCTGCAGGTTTAACATTCCGTCGGTAATAGTCTGTGACAATGGGTCATAGTTTATTAGCGACAAAACTCGTGTTTTTTGTAGAAAATTTATAATAGAGCTAAGGACGTTGACGCCGAGATACCCTAAAGCCAATGGACAAGCTGAATCCAGCAACAAAGTTGTCATGAACGCTATCAAAAAGAGACTAAAGCTAAGGTAGAAAAAGGTAGGGGGGCCAACGAGCTCCCATCAGTCTTGTGGGCTAATCGAACAACGTCAAGGTCTGTAACAGCAACCAAGCAAAAGGTAGACGCCTTTCTCCCTCGTCTATGGCTGCAAAGACGTCCTTCTGGTGGAAGTCGACTTTCCAACGTCTTGCTTCGGCCTTATGACGGAAGACAGGAACCAAGAAGAAATGGAAGATAGCTTGGACGCAACTTAAGAACTAAGAGAAGCTGCTTTAATCAGGATGGCAGTGTAACAACAAATCGTTGCAAGAAGCTTCAACAAAAACGTCAAAGCAAAGACATTCCAACTAGGGGACTGGGTACTAAGAAAAGCGTTCTTAAATAAAAAGAACCCTACCTACGGAAAGTTAGCTCCCCCAAGGGAAGACCCATATGAGATTACCCAAGTCGTCAGAAATGGCGCTTATCGACTGACTGGCCAACAAGGTAAGCCCGTTCCAAGAAGTTGGAACACAACTCATCTCATAAAGTATTACTTCTAGTGAATGCCAAAAAACAAATTTCGACGAAAAGGTAATACCCCCGTCTTCACAATTTGATCTCTTTTATTTAATTATTTATATTTAATAACGAGTACTACCTTAATCATCTGAGGGCCGTTGGCCGTGCCAACAGCCAACGGTGCTTTAACCATGTTAGTCTTGCAGAACACTGATCGACGAAACACAAAGCGACGAACGAATCTTTGGTCATGACATACAAATAAACGATGACAAAGAACAACAGATGTCGGCTACACTAATATCCTTAAAAGAGTGAGGAAAGCCACCGTTTAAACAAAAACATTGAAGCGAAATTAAGCCCATGGCAAATCTGACCTTAGCTTTCGACGCCAAACTCCCAATACCTGAACTATGAACTTAATCTTCAGTGTTCAGCGTCGACGCTGGGACGCAAGGGTTGTTGGCGAACAATGAAAGGCCTAAAACCGCAAAAGCACAAAGTCTTCGACAAATACATTGTATAACTGGAATGAACAGATTGGAAAAATCTTCGTTCAAATTTTGTCTTTGCCTAAGAGCATTTCAAAAATTAAGTCTGCCATTTTTTAAGCTTCCTTATAATTTTAACTTAATCGTTGTGCTATATTTAACTTAACCGTTTTGCTATATTTTTAACTTAGTCACCTTATTACACTTTTAACTTGGTCGTTTTTTTTGCATATTGACCACAGTAACACTAAGCATGAAGCACAAGTATGCAAAAGCAAACGATTTGATTCATAGCAAAAGATAAACGATGAAGTCACAAAGATTTTCTAAAGAACCACTTGCCTCCAAGTGGAACAAAACACGGAAGCAGAAAAACAATGCAAAGCCTTAAAACAAAAGCAAAAGATGTTCAGCATACATAAGATCGAAGCTATTGCAGCATCTTCTCCGAGCTCGGCAACTGTCCCCACCATTGTCCAGAAAACGATTGAATGCCTCTTGAGGTTACCATTCCGTAAACTTCCCTTTAAGGTATTCCTTCATCAGCTTAGCCCCAAGCTTTATGTCTAATTCACCAACCTCATCCAAAGCATTCTTTAACTCCCTCTTAGCCGCCGATATCTCTTCCCGCATCTATAACAGGGCCTCATCCTTGTTCCGAATAATTTCGACCTTATCTTCCAATTGCCAAGCATGTTCCTTTAATTGCTCATCTTTGTATTGCAATAACTTGGCATGCTCTTCTCCCTTTTTCCCCTGCAACTCCACCTTACTCTCACTAGTAGAAAAAAGTAAAAAGGCACCCCCTAATTACCACCGGTTCAGTCTAAACCGGTGGCAAAAATAAGATAAAAAATGGGCGGGTAAATGAACTAGTTATAATGGCACCGGTTCACTTCAAACCGGTGGCAAAAACACAAAGCCCACCGGTTTAAAGTGAACCGGTGCCTTTATTATTACAAAAAAAAAAAAAATCGCCCATATAAAACCCCCAACCCTATTTCTCATTCTCAATAGCCGCTTCTATCTTCTCCTATTTCCTTCTCTTTCTCTCTCCTCTTCTCCTCTCCTCCTCTTTCCTTCTTGCTCACCAGTCTTTCTCATCTCCTCCTTCTCCCTCAAGACTACCACGTCTCCTTCTCCTTCTCCTTCAAGCCCACCACAAAGACCACCACGAACACCACTACGGAGACCACCACGAGCACATGCAACACCACGAACACGTCTCCTTCTCCCTCAATTTCTGGGTTTTTTTTCCAATTTCACTTTAGGTTTTTTTTTTTGCGATTTTGATTTTTTTTTTTTCGATTTCTGGTTTTTTTAACTCGATTTTAATAGATTTATTTTTTTCGATTTTGATTTTTTTTCGATTTCTGGGTTTTTATTTCAATAGCAATTTCGATTTTTTTGTTTTCGATTTCTGGGTAATTTTATTTCCGAATTCAATTTTGATTTTTTTTTTATTTTTGTTTCTTGTTATTCGATTTTAATATATTTTGTTTTCGATTTTGATTTTTCGTTTTTCGATTTCTGGGTTATTTTTTTTCCGATTTCAATTTTGATTTTTTTTCGATTTTTGTTTATTCGATTTTAATATATTTTGTTTTCGATTTTGATTTTTTATTTTACGATTTCTGGATTATATTTTTTCTTATGTTTGATTTTGAATTATTTTCGATTTTTGTTTTTGTTTATTCGATTTTAATATATTTTGTTTTCGATTTTGATTTTTTTTTTTCGATTTCTGGGTTTTTTTTTAATTTTTATTTTTTATCTGGGTTTTTTCAATTTCAATTTTTTTTCGATTTCAATTTATTTCCGTTTCTGCGTTTTTTTTATTTCTGGGTATTTTTCGATTTAATTTTTTTGCGATTTTAATTTTTTTTCTAGGTTTGAATCTTAATTTTTTTTCGAAGCTTAATTATATTAATTTTTTTTTTTGCTTTAATTGGTGCAGGTATCTTGAGTTAGATTGTAAATGAAAGAATCAAGATGCAAGAATATTGAGTTTATTTTTTTTATTTATATTGTAATTTTTTTTATATGTTGTAATTGAACTACTGTATTAATCTATATTGTAAATTTTTTTTGATTATATATTGTAAATTTTTTATTATATTGATTGATATTCGATCTATATTTTGATGTTCTAAATAATTTTAGTCGATTTTTAATTTTTTGATTTTTGATGTTTGATGTTCAATTTTTTGATATTTGATGTTCTAAAAAAATAATAATAAATTTTTGGCACTTTTGGCACCGGTTAACCGGTGCCAAAAATAATCCCATAATTTTTTAACCCATTTTTGGCACTGGTTAACCGGTGCCAATTTCAAGTTTTGGCACCGGTTTGAACCGGTGCCAAATTCATTTTTTCACGTAGTGTCTCTAAATGATTCACTAACGAGGGCGCTTAAGCTAGCTCTAAATCGAAGGTAAGAGGTTACACTAACAATTGACAAAACAAACAGTCAAACTAACGAAACACTAGGAATGGGGATCAACAAGTAATCATGACAATTGCAACAACTTGAGAAGAGAATGTCAATCACCGGTTGTGAAGACTAATGATAAGAGCTATCAATTGGAATTAAAGAGCTATCTACTAATCGTTAATCTAAGGTTCACTATGAATAACAATTTAGAGAATCACAATCCCAACCAATCAATAATTGCAATTCCTAAATCAATTGGTCGTGTCATTAGCAATTACAATGCAATCTAACATAATTCTCAAGGCCTAATCGAATTACACACATGTAAACCTTCATTAATCACTTTAATCCCAATAATCAATCAACACAATTTCCAAATTAATAAAAATCTATCAATCCTACAAGTTTCACCCATTTCCTAGCCAAACAACTATTTAAGAATCATCATCTATCAACAATCAACTAATGAAATCAAGAATCAACAAAATATCAAGAACAATTACACTATTAAGAATCAAACATCAAAATTAAACCAAACAAACATGAAATTGAACAAAGCAATAAGATGAGATAGAGTGAGAAATTCTCATTGATTGATTAAGAAGATCTTCAATACAATTGTCACCATTGAATCTTCAATCTCTAAAAACCACCATTGAAATCCCTCACTTTCTCTCTCTAAAACTACTTCTAAACTATTCGTAAAACTAGAGAGAGAGAAGCTCTCAATCTAACCCAAGATATGAGAGAGAAAGTCCCCAAAACTAATCTAAAAATCATCTCCTAAAATAGAAATTACAAGGCTAATTTATAATAAAACGAGCTAGGGGAAACAGGGCAAACCGTACACACGCACCACTCTCTTTGTGCACGCACAGCAGGCCACAGAAGATCTGTTTGCATGCACCACCCAGGCTGCACACGCACACAGCTGGTTCTGCGCGCGCGCACCCTTGCTTGGTGCTCGTGGCCTTGCTTCCTTGACTTGCTCGATCGATCTCTGCGCTCCCGAGCATCTGTATCATTGGTGCACTCGAGGCGATGCTTGTGAGAAAGGCAGCTCCTTTATCTTCCATGCACTTAAACATTCCAAGCCAAAGCATTGTTTTTTAAGGTCCTTGTGCTTGTATTCCCGAACTTAGCTCCATTAACCTCCTTGAATGCGCTCGAGCTTCCTCCTTGATAATTAAATCTTGGGAAACTCGGCACACCTACAAAACAAGTCAAAGAAACGGAGAAGCGAGAGAATTAGCCGAGAAATGAATAAAATAATAAGAAAACCATTAAAAGCACGCATTTCTCTAAACTAACACGCAAATCAAGCATTATTCCCTAAAAACACGACATAAAAGACTAAAAGAAATCATAAAAATTAAGAAGAAAACCTAGCCTAAGATTGTCATAAATGGCACGCATCATCCACCTTTAGCTTCGTCTCATGACTCTCATCTAACTATTTCTTCAAAACGACAAACTGCCTTGCCGTAGTCTTTGTCTTAGGCTCTGGGTTCTTAGAAAAGTCATCCAACCTTTTCATCTACTTATCCATCCCTATCACTATGTCTCTCAAGACCAGAGAAATTTGCAGACACTGCCCAACAACAACAAATATCATACACAGATCATACATTGATTCGACAAAGGGGGAGAAAAAGCTCACGTAAAGATGAACAGAAGCAGCCTCCGACGCAATGTCCAAAGTGGACATCCCAGCCAGATGTTCACGAGAACCAGGAAATAGCAGCTGGTTAAGCTGAGGAAACATGGGTGGACGATTCATCCTTCCAAGGTGGAGAAAATCGGCAGGGAAGCGCATCTCCACAACAAGAACCACCACGACATTGTCAACCTTCTATTGCTTCGACGGAGGGGATGACGGCAGTATTATCGTCTCGGGCATATCACTTGTCTTCTGTGGAGATAAAGATTGCAGTTGCTTTGTCCTGTCGACCGACGACATCAGAGACGAAGCCTCAACATGGAGGCCTCGTTTTCTTCTCATCCGAAGGTCTTGCCAGCTTGAGAAATGCTTCGTCCCTGATGAAGACCCTGCGCAGCTGACTCTACAAGAAGAGACAAATATATTAAGAAAACGACTAAGCATAATACACAGCTACAACAATAAAAAGATCGACGCATGCAAACGTAAAACTTATGAGTCGACATTGTTTCTTCACAATCTTCGATCCTTGGCGGTGTGTTCGTCGTTGTCCTCTGTCTCTAACCCGACGATCTGCCAATTGTCTACCTTACCCTCACAAATGTCCTCTCCGAAGGCATTATCTCAAGAATCCGCTTCATGTTTTGCAACGATGCCTCCGTCGATTCAAGAAACTCCAAATTCAAGCCTATGCAATTGAAACAAAGATCAAACAATTTAGCCAACTCTAGCCTTAAAAAATAAATATTAGGAAAAGGTGCTTACCCTCCGTAGACACCCCTTTGTCAATCAGTCTCCTTCTACACCAAGAGATGTCCTCTTGACATAAACGAACCACTTCTTCCAACCCCTATCGTTGACTTCAGTATTTAAAACTAATCGATCCCCCTCTTATGTAAACGAACAAACCCATCCTCCTTTGCCTTTATATCGTACGCAATACTGCGCATGCCAAATCTTCCAAAGTAAAAGGATTGTCCCAATCCCCAGTAACTCTCTCCAAAACAGACAAAATTTTCAAACCACATGACATTAGCTGCCTAGGACTCAATCCCAACACCTCAAAGAAAAAGTGAATCAAAGGTGTAAAAGTGAATTTAACCCCTGTCTCCAAGAATGGATACCTAAAGAACACGACGTAGCCCTTGGGGCAATCCTCCGCCTTCTTCCCCGGACCCTAGATTTGAGCAAAGGTAGATTCGGGAAACCCCGCCATTGCAACGAAGCCAACCATCTTATTAGGAGCCATCAACGACTCTTCCTTGGTCATCGTTTTCTTCTGTGAAACAATTGTCCCTCTTTTTTCAACAACACGAACAGAAAACCTAGATCTAATTTTGGGCGTTTTGCTTAACATTTGCCCAAATTAACTAATAAAGTAGATAATTAAAGTAATTACCTGTCAAATGAAGCTACGAGAAGCTCAAGATCATCGCCGCGCACCGCCTTAAAATCACCGGAGTTGTTCTGCACAAGAGAAGAAGAGAGAGAAAGAAAGAAAGAGAAGAGTGTGGTAATTTTGGGAAGCGGGAAACGTGTAGCAATAATAAAGGAGGAAAAAGTGACAGTTAGAGAGAGTGGGAAGTTGAAATAACTTCTCCAGATAATGCGTCAAAGTGCAAAGACAAATGTGCCCCTAAGAAACTTCTTTTTTGAGTTTGCAATTTTTCTCTTCATTTTTTTTTTATATTTTTATTTTGTGATTGCCAAAAATGTACATAGCTGTCCATATTTAGCATTTAGTGGTAAATTGTAATGTGTAAAATTCTGTAAGTTAGAGTCAATAAAAGTCGGCCAAAGTCAACGACGAAATCAAGCTTCGACGAAGACTAGGACTTGACGAAGAGAAGCCAATCTCGACGGGCGAAATGTGCTCCAACTACTTTGCTATTTTGCAGGAAGAGATATATGTGGAAGAATAAGTCCATGCCCAGCTACATACCGCCGTTATTGGACTAAATTAAAATAAGGAAGTTGAGAAGCTAACTTCAAAAATTAAGGGAAGCTTATCACCTTGCAACGGCTAGGGATTAACCCTAGGCACCCTCTATATAAAGTGAAGGCATCATCAAACGAAGGACACACATCACTAGCTACAAAAACACTCTACGCATACATTGTAATTCGATCCGATTCTAAACATATTTTCATTGTGAAAGTTTAGTAGATCCTCATTCTACCCGCGGTTTTTAACTTCATTGGGTTTTTTGCGTCACCAATTCCTCATGTCATTTCTTTATTTTCGCTTAATTTTTATCCTCAACTTTATTTAGTTGATCCGTAGCCTAGATTTTGTTATTCAATCCCACTTAACAAAAAATTACATAAACAGAGTACATGGTTCACTACCCAGCCAAGTTATAATTGTAACGCACATCTAAAACACAAGACTTCCAAGAACATTATTTTTACTGCAATTTCACCAAATGCCCCTAAGTTATTTTTTTATTCACCAAATACGCATCAAAACTTTTAAATTCACCAAATACTCCTGAGTATAAGAAAAATGTCACCAAATACCCTAATGACTAACGGCGGCAGCCTCTAATGACTAATATGCCACGTGGCAGCCTCTAATTGGTTGTTGTAATTTTAGTTAATTAATTATTAAAAAAACATTAAAAATTAAAAAATTAAAAAAAATAATTTAAATTTAAAAAATAATTTTTTTTAAAAAAAAAACCCCACCACCCCCGACGGCCGACCACCAGCCACCACCCCCAGAACCCACCTCTCCCCCTGCGTCGGTGGTCCATTTTCGCCGGCAAGGGCAACCCCCCCACCCTCCGACACCCCCTCCCTACCCCAACCCCTTTCTCCCTGCGTTTCCCCTCCCCTTAAACCCCTCCCCCACCTCGAAACCCCCCCCCCTCCATTCACGGCCGGCGCCCAAACCCCCTCCCCGGCGTCGGCGAACCACTTTCGCCCCACCCCCTTTCCCCCCCTAAACCACCACCCTAAAAACCGAAAACCCCCCAAATCGAAAAACCCCAAATCGAAATCTAGGTTTTCGATTTTGGGGGTTTTCGATTTTTTTGGGTGGTGGTTTAGGGGGTAAAGGGGGTGGGGCGAAAGTGGTTCGCCAGCGCCGGGGAGGGGGTTAGGGCGCCGGCCCTAAAGGGAGATGGGGTTTTTCGAGGTGGGGGAGGGGTTTAAGGGGGGGGGGGAACGCAGGGAGAAGGGGCTGGGGTGGGGGAGGGCGTGTCGGAGGGTGGGGGGGCTGCCTTCGCTGGCGAAAATGGACCACCGGCGCAGGGGGAGGGGTGGTGGCTGGTGGTCGGCCATTAGGGGTAGTGGGGTTTTTTTTTTTTAAATTTTTTTTTTATTTTTTTTATTTTTTTATTCTTAATGGTTTTTTTAATAATTAATTAACTAAAATTACAACTAATTAGAGGTTGCCCATATTAGTCATTAATGACTAACGGTGTTAACCGCCGTTAGTCATTAAGGGCATTTGATGACATTTTTCTTAAACTCATTAGTATTTAGTGAATTTGAAAGTTTTGATGGGTATTTGGTGAATAAAAAAATAACTCAGGGGCATTTGGTGAAATTTCCATTATTTTTAATGGTCATTTAATTAACATATATACATTAAGTTCTTCCTAAATCAAAGTGGAAAAAAACATTGCTAACCTAGTGTCTCCAAAAATAACTATTCCAATAAAAATAAAATTCCGTGTTCAACCAAAGTATGGCATTTCAATGGAAACAAAGCATACTAGTGATGCTTCCTAACCAAATAACCACTTTATTTCAAATTGAGCTCCAGCAATTTTATTCGGATATTAGCTTTCTACTTCCAACTTCCCACACCATTACTTCAAAAGTGTAAGGGTAAAGCTTTGGCTTCACGACGCTTCTTTGTTTCAGTGAGTAGCTTTGCTGAATCAAAATGCTCAGAGGCTTAGAGCTATAATTGTTCTGTCGTAGTCGATATTGATGGCAATCCCAATGACACTTTTTGGTGTTCCTCTCTATTTCACATTTTTGTCATCCAAATTTTGTGGAGAAACTATAAATAGGAAAACGGCTTCCATAATTTCAGTACTTGAAAGTAATACTATATGTAGATCAATATAAGTAGCCTAGGGCATCAATTCACCGGTGTGCAAGTCATCTTCTTCCATCAATGCGGCCTCTTTGATTTCTTGCAACATTTTCAAAACTTGCCACATGTTAGGCCTCTGCTCTGGGGAGGCGACACTACAAGCTATGGCCACTTCAAGAAGCATCACGAGCCTATTCTCATCACTACCGCCATCTGCAACATCCCTTGCAGATCTTACCCAGTGTACTATGTCATTTGGAGTAAGATATGGATGCTCAGATGGTGGTTTTCCTGTCAAGAGCTCAAGTAGCAACACTCCGAAAGCATATACATCTGATTTAGATGTTGCTTCAGAATCAGACTTACGGAATTCTGGTGCTTTATACGCCCACAAGCTAGGATCATCCTCTGCTAATGATGACTCGGCTAACACACTCAAGCAATAGTCAGTGATACATGCCTCAAAGTCAGAACCAAGGAGGACATTAGAGGATTTAAGGTTGCCATGAACTAATCTCCAAGCTTGATGAATATAAGAAAGTCCTTGTGCTATGTCCTCCGCTATCTTCAAGCATGAAGTCCAATGTAGAGGCTTTGCCCTTGCTGACTTGGAACCTGCAGGTTAGAATGGGAGAGAAATTTAATATCAATAATAAAAGACTTATCAGCTAAATGCAGACCTAAGTAAAAAGAGCCAATTTATATCAGACAATCCATACATACCACTCGAGAAATTAAAAATAAAAGATCAAATCTGCATACTCTGACACTAAGTATTTGTGCTTGCCCTACTTCAGTACCAAGATTATAACTAAATCAATATCATGTCATTAGAGTATAGTCATTACAATGTTACAATGCTTCAATAACATTCATTGTAATTATAAGTTGTAATAAATTTAATGATAAGATTAAGATACGCAGCAGTATTAATGTACTATGTAGCAGCTTAAAAATAAAGAGCTCGAGATAAAGATGCAGATCAAACAATAAGTGATATTGCTAAACACTAAAAACAATTGTATGTTGGGATGGTTCCAAACAAGAAAAAGATAAACATTAGCCAGAATATTATGCAATGGAATTCAGTAAGACACTGCTGGCTGTAAAATCAGTAGTTTTACTGTCTCATATCAATACTAATAACACCAATGTTTGGTCAGAATGTGAGGTGTAACCAAAACGATACCGCCCATTGCCCCATTGTTTCAAAATGATTTTTTCAAATTTGATTTCTTTTATTGAATAGGTGAGACAGATACTGATTTCCAAGAGCAGTCAAAGAACGTACTTATGTACACTAGACAGTAATCTTGATTCAAAAAACCACACCAATCTGCGAAAAATATAAAGAACAGCCAATTTTCGCACTCCATCATCTCTGCTTCCTGTTGGTTCAATGTTATACCTATTTGCATCCTTAAACAATCAAACCTATGCCATGATACATATTTAATTAATTTAGGCTTTTTTAATATGTTATATTTCATAACCCCAACAACACATTAAGTAAACTTTATTATGGTACAGAGGCAAAGAATAAATTATTTCTCTTCATATTGTCATGTCAATAATGTGATAGGCTTATGGTAAGATATGAGATATCACACATATATTTTCCGATATCTCATATCTAACACTTAATTAAACAATAGTATTATCTGTTCTTAACAAGGCTAACACATAAAAGCCAAAATCATTAACATCAACAGGCACAATATATAGGTAATGAAATACTTCTGCATCTAAAAAGTAAAGTAATAATATACTCCATGGTTCAAACTGTAAAATCATTCGAAGTATAACATAATCTGCAACATAATTTTAGGCAAATAAAAAAATCTTCTTCATTAGTTTAAGCTTTCTAGCCATTGATCCACGGATTAACAAGTGTCATGCCAATTACATAGAGTTAATTCACTGTGTTTCTAGGCACGAATGTCCCGTGTCAAGAGGCTATTTAATAGTCATGGGTTTTCTCATATTAAAAAAAAATGTAGTTAATACCACAACAAGATGCTTATAAATAAATGACCACTTATGCCTTGAATTCTCGTGACTAAATAGGATAGCACCTCTACTAATAATTTAAAGTGTTACGTAGTACCATATATCTGACCGTTGGACAAGTGTGATTTCGTCGTTATATTAGCGAATATTCGTAATACTATTAGCACCAACATAATAACATAAACAATTCTACATTTCTACTAAATTAAGGTTGAAATGCAAAACAATGATATGCTATTCTTACTCCAGTCTTTATAATTCTTCGTGTTTGGTCGGTGATCGTCTCATAGAAACAGTCGAAACAGAAAAAACTTATAGAGACCGATGATCATTATAACGATAATATGACACAAAAAATGAAAGTGAGAAAACTAACCATGTATGAGAGAAAACAAGCTCCCATTAGGCTGATAATCATACACTAACAACCTCTCTTCTTTTGCTTCAAAATAACACCTTAAGGGCACCAAATTAGGGTGTCTAAGCGCGCCTACTGATTCCATGTGTTGCTGGAACACCTCTTTACCTGCACCCCCAATTCGACTCGAATCCAATCTCTTTACACAAACAATCAAACGATTATCAAGTACTGCTTTATATGTAGTACCAATAGTCCCTCTTCCTAACAACTCAGCTGATCCTCTCATCAATTGTTCTAAAGAATATAACTCAGTTTCACCCGCACAAAACACCAAACTCCCACTCTTCCCTACTGTCGCCACTGCCGCCGCTGCTGCTGCTGCTACCTTGATCATGCCTTCTTGTTGCGCGCTCTTCACTTTCTCCTCCATCTCCTCCTCTGTCCTCATCACCGCGGCTGCATCCGCATTCGCCGAATAGTCTGATGCCATTGTCGTTCTCTCAATACGACGGTCCTTCCTCTGCTTTCTTACTGCTAGAGCAAAACATGTGACTGATCCTATAAGTACCGTTACTCCTACAATAAACCCCCATATTAGAGCCTTACTAGTATGACTATTTCGACTCGGTTTGGATAAGTCCACCCCTCGAAGTTGCGAGCTCTGCGTCCCGAGTCCTCCTGCCGCCTCCATTGGCGACGCAGATGATGCAGGGTCAGCCGCAGCAGGGCCGAAAAAATGAATTCTACTGCATTGCTTGTGCAGAATCTTCCCGCACAAACCCGGGTTATGATCATAACTAGACGGACTGAATTTAGATAACTCATGTGTCACCGGAATCGGACCCTTGAGATTATTGCTTGAAACATTGAAAACTGACAATGTAGACTGATTTAGTGCCGGAATCGGTCCCGAAAACCGGTTAAACACGAGGCGGAGGTAGTACAATCGGTCTAACCGAGCTAACCAAGTGGGTAACTCACCGGTGAGATTGTTATACGACAAATCAATGGTCCTAATCCGATGGAGCGTCACAATAGACGGCGGAAAAGACCCAGAAAAACGATTGTGGTGAAGAAATAAGGCCTTAAGATTAGTGAGACTCGAAAGATTTGGAATTAGTCCAACAAGCGAGTTGTTCTGTAGACTGAGAACTCGGAGTTGGTCTAATCGAGTTAGTGAGTCAGATGAAAATATGCCGCCAAGATTATACCCTTCAATCACGAGTCGAACAACTCTGTCTTTATAACATTGAACAACTTGCCATTTGCAATGCGAAAAAGTGGTGTTAAACTCGAGCTGATTATGCAAATCAGCTTCCCTTTTGAAGTCTAAGAGTGCTTGAGCATCTGCTGGAAGATGCGAGCAATCAACGAAAGATAGTGGAAAAATAGAGAAGAAAACTAAGAAGAATGATTTGGACAACATAATTGTGAACAAGATTAGAGAGGAAAAAACATTGTAAAATGGAAATGAAATGACAAAAGGGATGAAAAGAGAGCTAATGAATGTTGAAAGGAGGGAAGAGAGTAATGGTAGGGTGGTACTGGGTGTGACAGAGTATCACGTGCAAGAGGTGGAAAAGCGAGCTATAGGACTGGACTACTGACATACTTGGTTCAACTTTTCTATTAAACTCTTTCAGATTTTTTAGAATAACTCTTTAGTATTCACTAAAGGTTAAACTTGTTTTGAGATTTTTTATTTATTTATTTATTTATTTAATTTTATTTATTTGTTTTTTTGGGTTTTTCTATACAGTGGCATAAGGTATTGACTTTTCCAAACCGCGTCCACCCATTTTCAAAATTTCACACTGTATTCCTATCTCTTTAGTGTCTACGATGTAACCTTAACCTAATCCCTCCGATAACTTCAAATGAAAGAAAATAAAATAAACAAAAAAAAAAACCAAACACCTCTATCTCCTCCGTCACAACCACCCACCACTACACTACACCTCCAACCGCACCACCGCCGCACCCCCAGCCGCACCACCGAGCTGTGCTCCTCTCTCCTCGACCCACCACCTATGAGGCCGAGTCGGTGAGCAATGAACTCGTCGCTAAGAACGAAGGAATTCACTTCGATTTTGACAAGATCGACGGCGACAGTGGGAACTTTCTCGGCGATCATAGCGCGGCGAAGTGCATTGGCGATGCTGGAATCGGTTTTCTTAAGCTCGAATTTCATGAAATCATCTCGATTTTTGGGACGAATTTCACCCAAAACCATCGAAAACCCTCGTCCAAATTCAATCGATTATACCATGAGATTAGGAATTCCGAGTTTTGATTTGTACTAGATGGATTATTTGATTTAAAATTCTCGACTTTGATTTGGAATTTATATTTTTGTAGGATGATGCGTGGCTGGGGGGAGGGCTGGCCGGAACGGTTGAAAGAGAGAGGAAGGAGTGGCCGGAAAAGGGCGGTCAGGGCGAAGGGGGAGAGAGTGGCCGGAAATGGGGACTGCGGTTGGAGGTGTAGTGGTGGGTGGTTGTGAGGGAGCAGAGAGAGGTGGGGTAATGGTGTAGTTGAAGGTGTAGTGGTGGGTGGTTGTGATGGAGGAGAGAGAGGTGTTTGGTTTTTTTTTTGTTTTTTTTTTAATTTCTTTATTTTGAAGTTAACGGAAAGTTAACTTAAGTTAATGGAGGGATTAGGGTAGGTTTACATCGTAGTCACTAAAGAGACCTTAGGGGTACAGGGTGGAATTTTGAAAATGGGTGGGCACAGCTTGGAAAAGTCAATACCTCAGGGGCACTGTATAGAAAAACCCTATTTTTTTATTACAATGAGAACAAAGAAAGATAATAAAAGCAGACCACAATCTAAAAAGACAAAAAAAGAAACTCTCGATCACGAGCCTTGCCAACCAACCAATCCGCTGGAGACACCCATTGTTTCGGAACTTTTTAAATCTTGCAAGACTCAACTACAGCCAGAAGAGCCCGAATATCCCGAATTAACTAGCAGAGGAAAATGTCGTCACGTTGTTTGTGGGCAACATATGACAAAGAGGCTCACAGTTTGAGAAAATAAGGATCCTACAAGAAACCCCTTGAAAAGGCATGATGTAACCCCCACTAACAAGCCTGTAATTAAGAATGGAAAGTAGAAGTAGAGAAAGACGCTTGAGCACCTCCCCCACGCACAGCAGACGAATCACAATCGCGCAAAATCCAACCGGCCCTTGCCGTATTGTCTGAGGAAGACCAAGCCCCATCACAAACCAGACAAATGTCAAACCCAGAAGACAAATCCTTATAAAGAGTGGCAACAAAACCAGAACCATGCGGTTGAGGCTGAAGATTCCCATAGCACATGCGACCATGAAACTCCTGAGCTTATCGAGCTCGGTCAGTCCACTGAGAAGCAAGAAGTAAAACATCATCGGAAGAGACAACCTAATGTCAAAACCGAATATTATTACGAGAAAGACAGATAGCGCATAACAGAGCGAAGAACCGAACCGGGTTCTCCCAATCCTTAGAATCCCTCAGTAGAGAGACCATTGAGGAAAACCATTGAGAAATGGAAGGCGAAGAACACCCTGACGATTAAAACAAAAAGCACTTTGGACCCATAAAGAGACAACAAAGTCGCAATCTCTAAATAAATGGTCCACTATCTCCTGTTCCCGGTAGCAAAAATACCAAAAGGGATCAACTAAAAGGCCACAAACATCCAGGACAGTAGCCACCGAAAGACCAGAATGAAAAACTTTCCAACTGAAAATCTTCCATCTAGGAAGAAGAGGGAGACCTCAAAATTTACACGAATTCCGAGATCAGGTGTTTCTCTGATGTAAGATAATGTAGGGTATGCTGTATTAAATTGTAGGTGCCTCTAAAATGGAGGAAATCTCCTTATTTAAAGGGTAATCGGGAAATGTGCTCCTAATTAGGTCATTCTGACCTAATTCTGTTGGGCTACGCCGAATTATGGCTTTCTCGAGATTTGGACCCTTGAAGGCCTCCTTTTCTCCCAGGTTCTGGGAGTGACGCGTGTCAAATGGGGATTGGCCCAATTCGGACTAATTGGGGTATACACGTGTCACGATCTGGTTGGCCCACGTGGCATGGGTAAAATTACCCAAAACATTTGCCCTTCACAGATGTGACATGGTGCGCCGTGTGGCATCCGTAACACGTGTCACTCAGCCACAAAAAATAGTAATAATAATAATAATTTTATTTAAAAACAATTATTTATATACATATATATACTGTGAAAGTTTAACTTTTCACATTCCAGGGAAAATTACAAGATTACCACTGCTTTTACCCCTCTATAAAAATATCTACATCCACCAAAATGTAGCTCTTTCCGCCTAGAGCAGGCGTATAAGGACCTAGAATGTCCATGCCCCATTTAGCAAACGGACTGGGCTGTGGATTGTCGTTCGGTCAGTAGCCGGCCAATGGATTAGCTTACCAAATCTTTGACACTTGTGGAATTTCTTTACAAACTCCATGGCTTCTGACTCAAGAGTGGGCCAGAAATAGTGCCGCATGGCTCTCACAACCAAGAATCTGCCGCCTACATGCGAGGCACAGTATCTCGCATGCAATTCTTAGAGAACTTCTTTCCCCTTTTTCTAGGGTATCACACATCAATAGAGGCTTAAAAAAACCTTCTTTGAAGAGCTCTCCTTGCCTCATCTCAAAGTTTGCAGCCCGCTTCTAGAGTACGGCCGCCTCCTGGTGAATCAGGGAGCGTGCCGTCTGTCAAATATGCTCGGATACTATCAATCCAAGTAGAGCTTCGATCAAGTACTTCAAAGGGATCCTCATCAGATATACTCCTTTTTCCATGACTTCTAAAAGACTGACCGAGGCGTATCATAGGAGGTGGAGGATGCCAGTTTTAAAAATGCATATGCCTGGTTGTTTTCAGACCTAGGCACTTGTCTCAGATGAAATTCTTCAAGTGACCCAGCCTAAGCTTTGACGCCTTCAAATATTTGATCATAGCCGGATGGATGGCTTCATACTCACCATGGTATTGGCTAACGACCAACTGAGAATCAGAGCAAGTGTCAATCTTAGGTTCCCATGACGCCTTGCACATACAGATGTCGGCTAGCAGGGCTTCATATTTCGCCTCATTGTTTGAAGCGTGGGACTTGAACCGTAGTGCGTATTCATATTTATCTCCTTCCAGATATTGAAAGATTATGCCTACACCACAACCGTTCATAGTAGAGCTCCCGTCTATATGCAACTTCCAAACCTGATCAGGGTTATCCGGAGCTACCAGCCTTGTCATTTCGATAATGAAGTCGGCAAACGCCTGACCCTTCACTACTTTTCTTAGTTCATAGGTGATTTCAAGACTTTGCATTTCAATAGCACATTTGAGCATTCTGTCGGATGACTCTAGGGTTGTCATTGGCAACTTGAGGGGTTTATCTGTATAGATCACTACCGGATGTGCCAAGAAGTATGGTTTTAACTTCTTAACAGCCATGTAAAGACCAAGACCAAAATTTTCAACCATAGGGTACCAGAGTTCAGCAAATCTGAGAATGTGACTAATTAAATAGACCGAGAGCTGAATACCGTCTCTCTCAGCAAGGAGAACGACACTGAGGGCATGATCTAAGACGGCTAGGTACATATATAGAGTTTCTTTTGGCAGAGGGCTAACAAGCCTTAGCAAGGAGTGTAAGTGTTCTTTCAATTTCTAAAAGGCCGCCTCTGCATCATTTCCCCATTCAAATCTAGTCTTCTTCCTGATTGCTTGGAAAAAGTAAAGGCATTTGTCACCTAACCTGCTGAGAAATCTCCCAAGCGTAGCCAGGCAACCGGTATTCTTCTGAGCTTCCTTGACAGAGCGAGGTGACTTCATGTAAATCACCGCCTGTATCTTCTTGGGGTTAGCCTCTATCCCCCTTTAATCAATCACGAATCCGAGAAACTTCCAAGACTCAACACCAAAAACACATTTTTAGGGATTTAACATGACCTTATGCCGCCTGAGTGTGGCGAAGGTTTCTCGGAGGTCAGCAAGGTGATCCGTCTATAGCTTGGATTTGACTATTATGTCATCAATACACGCCTCTACATTCCTCCCAATCTGATTAATGAAGACTGTATTAATCATTCATTAGAAAGTAGCCAGTGCATTCTTCAAGCCAAACGACATCACCGTATAACAAAATAACCCTTGATCGGTGACGAAGGCCATCTTCTCTTGATCCTTTTTCCACAAGGGTATTTGATGGAAGCTGGAGTATGCATCCATAAAACTTATCAAGGCATGCCCGGCTGTAGAGTCGATTAAACCGTCAATCTTTGGAAGTGGGTAACTGCCCTTTAGACATGCCTTATTCAAGTTAGTGTAATCTACACACATGCGCCAAGTACCATTTGGCTTCCTTACAAGCACCACATTCGTAACCCAATCAAGGAAGTTACATGGCCGATTGAACTCGGCGTCTAACATCTTTTTAACCTCGGCAGCTGCCGCCTTACTTCTCTCCTCGCCGTGATTTCTCTTCTTTTGCCGGATGGGCTTCTTTTTTGGATCCACGGCGAGTTGTTGACAGCAAGATCCGTGCTGATACCTAGAATCTTTTCCACTTCAAAGAAAAAGATGTCTTTGTCTGTCAGCAGAAGGTGCAAGTCTACTCCCAACCTTTCAAAGGAAATCTTCCCAACCTTAACAGTTCGCACTGGACGGCTGTCATCTAGAGGAATATTAATGTGCTCACCAGCCGGCTGGGGACGGAGATCATCTGACCATTCCCTGGTCAGTGTTTGCTATTTCTTCACTTTCTTCACCTCCACCAGCTGATCAATTTTTATCATCTTTGCGGCTGCTCGAGGGGGTACGTGAATCAAGGTCCTTGATATCGTCAAGGTTTATTGGGTCCTTTGGTTGACCGGTTGCAACAACCGTTGGTTTGACATCTAAGAGACAACACTCCTTTTCCGTCTTCTGATCCCCGTTGAGGGAGCCAACAGAGCCATCATCATTTTTATACTTGAGAAGCATGAGAGTTGGGATGATGACAGCCTTGCACTCGTTCATAGTGGGTCGGCCAAGAATAATGTTGTAGGTGGTCAGCTCTTTAACCACCAGGAACCGAATGACCATGCGCTGCCCTTTTCCTTTTTTCCCCAACCGGATGGGTAGATCAATTTTTCCGACTGGTTGCACGACCCCTCCACCAAAGCAAACTAGTGGATGGGAGACGTCACGCAGATTGTCTGGGTTGTAGTTAAGCTTGGACAAACACTTGTAGCAGATGAGATTAGAGGAGCTACCCGTGTCTATAAGGATTCGGCCAACCAGTTGGTTGGCGACCTTACATTTAATGACGACTGGGTTGTCATGCAGTCGGCGGACTTTGCCCCGGTCCTTCTCAGTGATGAGGAAGTTTGGGAATAATCCACTGCTAGACGCCTGTCCATCATCAACAAAATGGATCATCTTCTTCAGATGATCCTTGGTGCCCCGAATGGTCGAGCCATCACAAGCAAATTCGCCTGCTATAGCGTAGACTGGATCCTTGTCGATGTCCGAGCTACTAGTACGCTGGGCAGTCTTAGATGACTGTCCTGGATTCGTCTTAGATGCCTCTTTAGACTTCAATACATAGGACTTCAGCAAGCCCTTTTCAGCTAGACGGTCCAACATCCGCTTGAGGCTATAGCAGTCATTGGTGTCATGGCCCAATTCCTCATGGAAGTGGCATAATTTATTCTTATTCCGCGACAAAACAATACTCTTCATAGGATTTGGATTCTTAATAGTCAGTCGATCCTTCACCTTTGTGAAGATGGTGTAACAGTTGACAGGCGGTATTTTAGGTCGTCACTAAGACACCTCTATCAAATGATATTTGTAGTCCTAAACATGCAACTAAAAGAGTATAGAGGCAAGTTAAGGGTCGAACACAGGGAAACGATTAAGCACCGCTATTTATCTCCTAATGTTAATCTAATTCGATCAAGAAGTGTGGTGGGTAAAGTAATGACTAAAGGGGATAGAACAACAATTAAAATAGGTACTAGGGGGAAGGATCAAACATGCTTTGATTTCAACGAAGTTAGGCATCGGAAAATAGGTTTACATGTAACCCAAGCGACTCATACAAGGCAATATCAAGAATACTCTCTAATCACCTATCGGGATTAAGAGCCTTCCTAGCTAACATACGCTCACA